ATTCTTTGCAGAGGCGCCATTTGCTGTCTGTTGCTGTCTCCTCTATTCTGGCTTTATATGCATTTGTTCTTAAGGCTTGGTTTTCTGCAGCCAGAATTAGCCCCTTCTTCAACTTTCTGCTCTTAGCCTTTGCCAGGTCTTGTTGTTACCTGCTTTGACTACTAGTTTTCTTCTGTACTGGCCATGTAATACTTTGCCTTGCCGTGTCTCTTTTCTGTTCTTCATTTGGTCTTTCTTACAGGCCATTCTGGTTCCTTTGGTATTCAGTACGCCTTCATGGTGTCCTAGCTTCAGTGCCTCTTCTTCACTGTCCTTCAGATATTCTTCCAATGCCCTTTTTCCTTCTTCAACTGCCTGAGGTACTTGCAACATTCCATGCCCACCTTGCTCCTTGGTCAGTAGAGTCTGTCGTCAACGTCGCTGCGTGGATGAAGGGCATGATTCATTGCCATTATTTTTTTGGTCTTCCTATCCAGGGCTTTTAGTTCAGTGTGAGTCCAGTCCACTATTCCAGCTGTGTATCTAATGACTGGAATTGCCCAGGTGTTGTTGTTGTTGCTGTTGTTATTTGGAGAGCTAGAAATTCCCACTGCTGTTATCAGCCAATTTTCCTCAGCTTGTTTCTTCCTTCAGTTGCAGTTCAACACATGTGATGGGATTTAGGCTGAGGAAAGGGAGCCAGTTTGGTGTAGTGGCTAAGGCCCCAGGCTAGAAATCAGGGGACTGAGTTCTAGTCCTGCCAGCACAAAGCCAGCTAGGTGATCTTGGGCCAGTCACTCTCTCTCAGCCCTGGGAAGGAGGCAAGGGCAAACCACTTCTGAAAAACCTTGCCAAGAAAACTGCAGGGACTAGTCCTGATAGCTGCCAGGAGTCAAAACTGACTTGAAGGCACCAAAAAAAAAAAAAGGCTGAGGAAGGCTGTAAATAGAAGCAAGTCAGGGGGGAAAAAACTATTCAATGAATAATTTTCAGAAAGGTTTTCTAACAGTGATGGAAATTATAAGTCACTACATTTGTCAAAAGTTACATTGGTTGGTATAATAAAAAGTTAACAAATGTGTTTTGTCATGGCATAGGGCCTGATCACTTGAGGGACTGCCTGTCTCCCATAACATCTGCCCAGCTGATTTGATCCTGCAGGGTTGGCGTGCTCCATGTTCCTTTGATTAAACAAGGCCATCTCTCAGGACCCTGGAAGCGCGCCATCTCTGTAACAGCGCCTGCCCTCTGGAATGAGGTTCCCCCTGAGATCCGGATGACTCCCACTGTTGTTGTTTAGAAGAGCTGTGTAGACCAGGCTCTTCACCCAGGCCTTTGGTGGGGGAGAGGGAGACCCCTCACTTCATCGTGCTTGCCATCTTTTATCTTTATCTTTTATTGATTTTATGGTAATTTCTTTGATTGTTGTGAGCCACCCAGAGTCACTGAGAGTTAGACGGCATACAAGTTTAATAAATTATTATTGTTCTTAGTATTTCAATTAGAATTAACATTAAATGTGCCAGTTTGGTGTGGTGGTGAAGGTGCTGGCCTAGAATCCAGGAGGCTCTGAGTTCTAGGCCTCCCTTCAGCAGGAAAGCCAGTTGGGTGACTTTGGGCCAGTCATTTTCTCTCAGCCCAACTCACCTCACAGGGTTGTTGTCAGGGGAAAATAAGTCGGGAGCATTATGTACACTGCCTTGAGTTATATGGGATAAAGGTAGGGTATAAGTTAAATACATTTAAGCAATACCTTATTTTGACCAGTCAGTTATACCATTTTTAATGGTTTCAATACCTAGCCATAGAGAATAAATGCAGAAAAGAGAAGATCACCTAAAATGTGAAAGCTGGGGGGGGGAGGGGGATACAGGAAACGTGTGTGTGTGTGTGTACACCACTTCCTTCATTATTTAGATCTGTTCCCTGCCCTTAAAGACTTCACTTTTCTAAACTTATATTCCGCTCAGAGTCGTTTCAACGAGATGGGCGGTGACAAATTTGATATATAAATAAAATAAACAAACAAATAAATATTTAAATCAGATACACCTATTTACCAATATAGGATTTACACTCAAATAAAGACATGAGAAAATATATTCCCTTAAAATGTTGATATTTTCTACCATAACAGCTTTTGAAGTGGTTAAACTAAGTGAAAACCTGGCAACATTTATAAGCCAGAGTAACTCAAATACATAGCAGCACAGCCCACAAAACTAAGAAATCTTTACAACTCAGGTTTATTTTTTATTTATTTTATTAATCAAATTTATACACCGTCCATCTCATTTTAAGAACTATGAACTGAGTCTGGAAACAAATAGGTCCCATAAGCCTAGAAGCACTAACCAAATGTTTCACTGAGCCAAATTCAGTTTAATAAGCTGATTTGTTCTGAACCAGTTAAAGTTTCCAGATACATTTCATAATGCAAGAAAGCCATAAGGAACAGAGGGGGCTGGTCCACATTTTTGGAACACTGCAGGTACTTCGCAGGTGCCCTCCAAGGGCCAACCACAAGGCACCAAACGGGTGGGCTTGCTCCCACTTTCTCTGCAGGATACTCTCTATCACACAGTTTGTCTTTTTCTAAATAAGAGGGCAGATAGAAAATTAAAAATCGTGGTTGTGTGGCTAAGTGTTATTGGTTCCAGATATATTCATGAAAATAAAGGCAACGGTGGATAAACTCATTTTGCTCTGCAAAGTTGATTTCATCAACTTTTTAAAGGTTTTATTTTTTTTAAATCAGCAGGGACAAGGCGCTTTGTAGACATCAAAGGAAGTGTCTGCAGATATCCTTGTGGCCTGTTCCTGAATTACACCGTTAATGACTACAGTAGTCACATACCTTTTTTTTTTTATTGATTACGTGCCATCAGATTGGTGTTGACTCTTAACAACCACATAGATAGATTTTCTCCATGACAATCCATCCCTAACCTGGCCTTTCAGGTCTTCCAACACATACCATATTTATCTGTGGTAAATTTAACCAGAGTTTATGAAATGACCCCCCCCCCTTTTTTTTTTTGGATTTTCACAATACACTGAGTTACAAGCAAAGAACACAGACTTACACAACATGCTAAAAACTAGTTTTCTAGTTTGTAGCTCAGTGATCCTGCAGCCCGAAGGCAATTCCTCACCTCAGGCAAGAGGAATGTTTCAACTCCATTCCTTGAATCTTTTAGGAATTAATTCATATCACTTTCCCAAGAACCCGAAACAACCAGATTCTTGTGCATTATTATCCAGAAGTAAACCCCACTGGATTCAGGTCTTATTCTTAAAGAAGAGTTTCAGGCAATATTATGCTCCACAGGCACCAATAGCAATTCTGGTACAAACGCACAGATAACTATACAAAGTTTCGGATCTTCTCCCATTGGCACTATCTTTCTTCGCTTACCTAAGTTTTCCTAATTACAGGCGCAGCCCATGCATTTAATTTCAAGTGATTAATTCTTCCGGAACAAGTGATTTTGAAGGTGGGGATTTGCCCTGCAATCCAGAGAGCGTTTCAGATACCCTTATTCGTGCATCTCCTCTAATCCCATCGCTATATTTAATACTAAACAAACTCCGGGCATGTCTAAAAAACGCACAGCAAGTGAAAGGACAGCACGTGCGCTGTGTCTTAAAAGACTCCTCCCACTGACTACCCACTCTCCTACAGGCATAGAACCCGGGCAACGCTTCGTGACGCACAACGGAGAAGGGCTCTCCAGCGTTTACGTACGAAGGAAGCAGGCGCGGTGCATTTTGGGGATCGTAGGCTCGACTTCGAAAACTCCCGCGCTGAGATGGTAAGAAAGGAAATCGTTGTTCCCGGTCAGTATTGCGGGGTGGCGGAGAAAAGACACGGGGGGGGGGGGGGGGAGCCAGCCAGGCCTTTTAATTGCGGCTGTTTTGGAGGATTTGGCATTTGGTATCGGAGATTAGGTGGAGAGAGAGAGAGAGAGAGAGAGAGACGTCTGCTGCTTTGTATATTGTTCTGCGAGGAGGGCTCTTAACAAGGATCCTTTTCCTAAGATTTTCCCTAAACCCACATTCCATTTACTCTGAACTGCAGATAATTCAGGAAGATGTGCCTCTGAGTAAGCCTTCTAGTAACACGGTATTCAGTTTTACAAATAGGCAGCGATCCAGGGTCGGTAATGCAGCCTAGTGTTTACATGGAAAGAAACCCCGATGTACTGTATTTAGGAGCTTTTACTCACCAGTAAGGGGGCTGACGATGGTTGTTTTAAGACTACAGCAGGGTTTTATAGGTATACAGTACTGTATTCTGTTCAAAGGATTAAAACATTAATTTCTTCTGTGACTGATAAGATAAAGTTAGGGAGAGGCAAAAGTTTCTAGTTAGAAAATTCATAGCTGCTTGAGAATTATTGCTAGAAGATATTTAAGAGGCTTGAACACTGTAATAAAATAGTTTGTGTAATGTTTCCAGTGTGAAATTTGGTAGGAAACATGAACATCTGGTTTTCTCCTAGGTAATCTTTTCCCATCTGTTGCTGTCCAAATGAATTGGACTTCAGCTTCTCTCTTTCCCAGCTTTTCAATTCTCATAATTTTCAACCAAGATGTCCATGTTGAAGGCCAAAACTTTTGGAGGGCACCATGTTGGGGAAAGCTACTTCTTGAGGATAGCTGTGGAATAATCCCATCTATCATACTCAAGATAGTAATGCATATCTATTCAGAAAACCCATTAAAATGTAACTGGGATGCTCTTCTAAGCAAACATAAGACTGCAGCTTATGCTGAAATTCTAAATTATACTAGCATGTATGTCTGGAGAAAGTATCCAAAGGTCTGAAAGGACCTTTCAGGAAACATGTTCATGTTTGGAGGAAACGGAAAGACAACATGTGTTCTCTTCTGTTTAGATGGTTACTGTTTTCCAAATAAACTATCCAAAGCAGAAATTGGAAATCTTATCAAAATGTTTTCTGGTTCATCTTCACCTGCACCAGCAAAAGCCACTTCTGATGCATTTGATATCCACAATATCTGCTGCCTACTAACTAGAAGATCACAGGGATTTCATACAAAAGATGCTGGAGCTGTTTATAGGAAAAACATGAGTCTCTTGAGGAAACTAATATGCCAGGTAACAGCTGTGGGAATTGTTCATATGCAGTACCTCTTATAGCTCAATCTATAACAAGTTTATTGACAAATTCTGCATAGAAACCTAGAATGAATTTCATATGTAGATCATAATTTTGAGATTAAGTATAGGTTTAATGCTGTTTTCTACAGTAGTATATTTACTAAAAATAGATGCATGAAGTGGCTCTAGAGGAAATATTTTTCAGTGATTATTAATGCAATCAAGATAAACATTCCAAACAAGTCTCTCATAGTGCAAACCTATATATAGCTACTTAGAAATAAGCCTTGCAGAATTTGATGAGATTTATTTTCCATTAGGTTTGGAGAGATGGCAGCTTTATTGATTCTTCTGAGTTTTTCACAGGTTGCTGCAATTCAGTCCTATATAGTACATCTTTATTCAGAAATGAGCCCCACTTTGGTCAATGGTACTTATTTCTACTTAAGCCTGCATAGGACTGAAAGTAGTGTTGTTTATCCCTGTGAGTTCCTGGGAAGTTACTGCACCATTGCTTACATTGTTAGATATATTATTTATACGAGATGTGGTTATAGAATAAACAGGCTCAGAGAAATTGTAAAATCAATTAAAATTGCATAGTTGCTTTTATATTTGAAGCTGGAAAATAGGCATATTATTTTCCATCTTAACGCAAAACATGCGGTTGAGAAATGTTTTTCTTAATTGCTGGTTTATTTTTTGCCATAATTAAGATACATTTTAATACATCTCAGAGTCTAGTTTGAATACTACTTGTATCTATGGAGAAATTAACAGAGAGAAAAATATATAATTGTTATTAAAATGCAAGAGAGTGCATATTTAAATTTTTATTTTAATTTATAAATCAATATAAATAAGTAAATACATTTAAAGTATTTCTTTTTTAAATATCAAGTAATTTTTTAAAAAATCAGGATTTTTTGGGGAGGGGTGCCTCTAAGTCAGTGTTGACTCCTGGCAACTGCCTGGACAAGCCCCTGCAGTTTTCTTGGCAAGATTTTGGAAGTGGGTTGCCATTGCTTTGTTCCTAGGGCTGAGAGAGAGAAACTGGCCCAAAGTCACCCAACTGGCTTTGTTTTTATCAGTCAAATCAGTTCTAGTTTTGTAAATAACTAGTTTTCTGAAAATTTCTAGTGTAACAGGTAAACAACTGTTACATTTATGACATAGTACTAAAAATGATTACCTTTTGCAGCAAATAAACTATAAGGATAACTGTCATGATTAGTTTAAATAAGTATCCTAAATCAAATCTTTTTATGGTTCATTATGATTTATTTCAGGAAACAACAACATTCAAGAATGTTTGGACTATACAGTCTTCATCTCCAGTTTCTTATCATAGTGGAAAAATTTATCTTGACAATTACCGGCGCTGTGTGAGCTGGTAATTATTATCTTTAAAAACCTTTTAAAGATATTGTAGAGAGATATTTCTCTTTTTCTGAGTAATTTTATCACATGTTTGAGTATTAGTAATATCAAGGTAGCCACAGAGCCATAGTGTTTTGGGTAAAAGTGGGTGAGATGGCAAAAATTCTGTAGAACTGAAGCCTGATCTTATCAATTTGGAAAGGTTCTGTTTATTTCTACATAGCTCTTCTAGTTAAATATGCCTAGGATTACAGGTGCTTGTTTTTAATTGTTTTTATTTTTTGTACTTTTAACTTTGGTTTTATGTTTTATTATAAACTGCCAAAAGAATTCAGTAGTTAGTGGTACATTAAGTTAAATAAAAAGTAACAAATTAATATCCTGGTATATGTCTCTGGAAATGTCAAGTCAGGCAGAATATGACTGGGTACTTTTTGTCCAAGATGGTTCCATGCCTAGTGACCAGTGATGGAGAGATATGAGGAAGCAGAATTGAGGAGATAATTCCAGTCCTCTGGGGTGAGATGGGGGTCAGTACCACAGAGTGGCAGGGGGAAGGTCCTGAGTGCTGGTGGTTACCAAGAATTGGGTAACAATTTATAATAGTTCAGTCATGGAACTCATTCCCATCAGATGTCATGTAGATGGCTTTAAAAGGGCAGCTAGACATGTTTGGGAAAGGGAAATCAGGGGCTATATCCTTGTTTGAGGATTCCCTACATTCCAGTTGCTATGGTGCTAGAATAAGAGAGGGAAAATGCTCATTTGCAGCCTGTGAGCTTTCTGGATGAATCTGCTTGGGCACCATGACTTGTTCTCACCTTGCGCTACTCCACAATGGGATTTATTTAGTTTTGGTTTAGCATGTTATGTCCATGTAAACCCTGCGTGATACAGAATGTTAGCCTAGATGGGCCTGTTGCCCAACCTAGCAGCGTGCTTATGTTTTTAGTAAATAAAACGGACTACTTCAATAATGGAAAGGGGTGCTTTGTAATTTCCCCCTTCTTTTGTCTCTGTCAGCATTACACCAGAGCCCAGAATAATTTATCAAATGCCAGGATGGCCCACCTCAGAAAAAATAGAGGATGCCTTGTTACTGGAATGCCCAGTGGTAAGACTTTTTTAAGTGACTTTGCCGAGTAGGACAAGTCGTTGACTCCCTTGTGTCATATCCAAAATATGCTCCCTTACTTGTTTTTAGTCACAAGCATGACAAATTAAGTGATCTCTCAGGAGCACCATTTGATGAACGAAAGCAGCATTTTAACACTAAGCTTCCTCATTTGGGGTCCGCCTTTTATGAGTTTCCATGTACAGTGATGCCTCGGGATACGAACGCCTCTGCTTGCGAATTTTTCGGGTTACGACCAGCTCCCGCCCAAAAAAATTACCTCGGTTTGCGAACTCCGCCTCGGGGTACGAACCGGATCGGCGGCCATTTTCCGCCCGTGCCACATGGTCCGTGGCCATTTTC